TATCATTTAAAACTGAACAATTATCTGTATAGACTATATTTAATAATTAAGTAATTTAATATATTATAGTGTTTTTAGAGATTATGTGATTTATATCATATTTAGAGATTTAGACCTATTTGATTTAATAACTATATACTAATGAATATCATAATTCATTTTTGTGTCATCAGGAAATACACATGTTGGACTCTTTGTAATATATATAAAAATGGCTGAAATCATTATCATTCAAGTTTATCCCACAGATATGCAATCAGGCCTGTGCACTCAATCAAGTTCATTACTACATTAAGAAGAATGTTAATCATATGCTAAATTATGATTTAATATTTATTGTTTCTTGTATTTTACTGACAAACCTCATTTTGTAGATTCTAAATCTTTAAGTAGTTTGAGACAAATATAGTATTATAAACACTAAATATCTCTAGATCCAAACTTGAAAATTTAATACTCACCAAGGTTAGCTTGTCTCGATTTTTTTAATTTTGATAGAGATTTAGAGCTAAACTTGAAAGAATATCTATTTTTTTGCAATAACCTTATCTTCTTTTTATTACTATTTATATTTATACCCATTTCATTATCTGAATCTGAATCGCAAAATAGGAAGCCAAATTTTCTATTTTGTTTAATTATAGTGCTATGTATAAAAAATACGATACTATAATGTATATCTGTGAGAATTAGAAAATTCTCATGAACTAAAATGTTCAATCTAAAAGCAATAGCTTGCCCTTTGTTTTGCATATATTATTAGTTTTAACTCAGGAAATACTAATTGTCCATCTTCAAATGTTCCAAGTGGGCACACAATACAGAGTGAATTGTGGTGGTCTTTTAGATCCCGATAGAACTGGCAAATAGCATTGAAATTAATTGCTATAGTAGAAAAGGCTCTAAATGATTTAGAGACATTTTGTCCAAAATCAAGTTTTCTTATTTTTGTATATAAGGCTAGATATGTTTCCTTAATATAACTATTAACAGCATCAGATAATGGTTAAAAGCCTTGTATTAATCCTTGAACACATTTTAAATGATCCCAGTTATAAGATGAGGCAGTATTTGATGTTGTATAAGGTTCATTGTTATTGCCTATAAAAGCACCAAAATGCTCAACCAATTCTTTCGAAAATTCTTTGAACTAGTAAGACAGATTATCAAGCATGTGAATATAGTATTGTTCCACTGCTATCTTTGCACTTTTGGTGACCCTAAAACTCTGAAAAGTGTATAAATCCACTATTGTTTCTCCAAAAACATTCTTAAAACATTGTGAATCAAATATATGGTAATACCCTTTTATATTAACATCTTCTTTGGATATCTTATCAGTTAATACACTAGCAATAATTTGTTTATCTTTTAAATTTCAACAAAATGCCTCAGATATTGTTGTTTGCTTTAGCAAAACTTTTTCTGCTTTTACATATTGCTGATATGCATGCTTTATCTTAGACCAGAGGCACTGACAATGGTTACGAGTCTGCTTTACAATAGAAGGACTGATTGCAAAAAATGCCTACAAAGCAAATTGCTTCTATGCTAAATCAGAATTTTTATTTGTGTGTTTGGTGTGATCAAAAATTTCTGATTCTAGTAAATCAATAAATTCAGCAGATATTTGAAAGGTAGTTAAAATGTGATAAATAATTTGTGTGGTTTGGGGTGGTAGTGATCTTTCTAAATTGTATAATTCGCTTCAAATATTTTCTAAGTCAAATTTGGAAAGAGCATCATATTTAAGAGAAAAGATGTTTTGCTTTACAGCATCTAATAGAAGCAATTCTCGGTCCAGTAGCATTTTAATAACTTTTTGTTGCCATCTTCTTTCTGCAAATTTTTCAAAAAAGATGATTTTTGGATCCATTAAAAAAATAGATTGCAAATCATTCTTTGACTTAAAATTACTTGTCATGAAATCTTCAGATTTCCAGTAAGATAGAATATATTCATATAATTTGCTCTTAGATAGACAGGTCTTATTTTGAGTCTTATGCTAGAAAATATATATTCAAAAAACTGGTAAATTGATATACAAAAAATACTTTATGTTGAATAGTAATAAAATCTTCTTGATGAATACATTCGAATCATTCTCAGTGGTGTGGTTTAGGGGTTTAAAACCCATGAAGTCTGCATCACCTTCCTTCTTACACATGCCCTACATCAAGGATGATGATCACGCCTGAGATAAAACAATAACTTTATATAGGGAGGGAATACTCAGATCCTAGGCCTGCCTTGAAAGACAAAAAGTATCCCTAAGAAGACTATACTATAAAACTAAATGTAATAAAAGATATTTAACCTACTTTTAAAGGATTATAAAATATGTTCATGCTTTCTTCAATATAATTAGCATTAGAATTAGAAATACCCTCTTTGATGATTAAGCTATAGGATTTTTTAATCTTAGCTTTTTTTATGGTATGTAGTTCTTTCTTACGCAAATTTCTCTTAAAGGCCTTTAACATAGTAGGTGTATTTTGTAGCAACATAATGTTAATACAAATATGTGATTTATAAAAATAAAAATAAAAATTTTTAAGATGTTCTCTTGAAAACTAACAAATTTGGAACAGAACTTTATAGTGAGGATAACCCTTTTATTATAAATCATAACTTATTCTTATTTAATATATAACAATCTGATATGAAGCAATATACAATATAAATGACTCAGCATTGCAATAATCCAATGTGAGTTAACTAACAATTTTTATTTGGCATTATAATAATTACTAACAAACAAACAATTGTGTGTTTACTAAATTCGGCATCACAATTATTGAACATAGTAAATCAACCAACAATTGCACATTTTCTATATTTGGGATTAGATTGTTAGCAGATATTTTGGTTATATGGAGTATAGTAATAATTTTACATACTATATATTCCCCAAGCCTGATTTACAAATTTAGAATAAGTGCTATGCACTTCTTTATTTATGCTATTATAACAAAACATGATGATCAAACATCTAGCATTACATTTTTTTTACTATTGATAGCCATCAAAAATAACTTTACAGCTGTTGGTAATATTGATCCATGCTAGAAAAAATAAGTACGTATTATTTAACGGTTCCACAGGTTCACTTTTATTTTGGTCTAGGTCAAAGCTAAAATAGCAATAAAAACTTGACTAGCTTTAATAATCAATGGCCTGCATTAAACTTTATGCAGTATTATTTTAATTTCTCATAGTCGATTTTTGATAACGAATATCTAGAAAGCCTTTTCTTATTATATATGATACTGTGATAAAAAAAAGTGCAAATAGAACTTAAAAGGGCTATAATAGGGAAGAGTACAACTTTCTTTATCAGTAGTTTTATCAAAATTCATATGTTACTAGGACTTAGAATCTCTGCCATTCCCAGATCATCAACTTTCTTTACTTTGTAATAATGATCGTCAAATCTAAAGGGGTTTAATTTCACCTAAAAAATGATAAAATAAATTCAGTATTTGGAACTTATAGCCAAACGGGATTGCTTTACATGGCTGGATCTGATATTGTGTTAGGGTAATGCAATTACTAATTATGTAACTTTTTTTTTCTGACAGGTTCACTATATTTAATGAATGGACAGTATAAATAAGCAAGCTCCTGCCTACAAGATAAGTTAGCAATAATGTAATTTTTGCTTATATATATTTTTTTGAAAAAAAGTTTAATATAAGTTACCTGCAATTTAGTTCTAAGGTAATGTTTATTTAGCAGAGCTGGTCAGAAAACACTATCATAAGTTTATGTATTAATAGCCTTGTTTTTATTAACAGTCGTGATGTCTACAAATATTTTCTCATATAAGGCAGAAGAGACAAGAGTCTTTGATACTGGTCATGATAACATCTGAGTAAAGGTTGAAAAGTTAAACGAAGATGTTGCAAGGGTTATTTTTGTAAATGAAAATGAAAGTTCAATTGACATTATAGAGGAAGTGAAATTTATAAATAAGGTAACTAAAAATAGAATATCATCTGTAGAAGTTAAGAGTTAAAAAAGCTATCTTATAACTTGAATAAATAGCTATAAGTTGTATGTAGATAATCAAAAAATTTTCAGATTAGAAACACAGAAAGGACATGTGCAAATGGAAAATACAAACCTTGCACAGTATTTTGTAAAAAAAGACTATTAAATTTTTTTTATTTATATATTATGTTGTCATGTCAGCAATATAATTTTTTATAATAATAAAGAAAAGGGTCTACTAGGCTCCTGATTTTTTATTTTAACACGCATTTGACCAAAACTATAATATATAACTAGTGAAGTAAGGCATTTGTATCCAGTTATGTCTAATTAAAAATTTGTATGAATTAAGCATAGATTTTTTTCTATTTTTTCATAAGATCATCAAGCCATGCAATACTCAAACCACTTTTTAGTATACTGCGATGTAATAACTCTTCACCGACTAGCCTCTTACTATCAGTTAAAAATTTACAATATTTTCTATAATCTTCTTTTCTTTCTATTTCACTATGATAGAAATGTATATCTCTTTCAAAATTTCTACAAAAACATCCTGTGGTCTACCTATTTTTCTCAGCCTCTGTAATAATTGAAAATTCTTTGGGATTTATTTCATATTCGATGACATACTGATAAAGGTGATTTTTGTTTGACACTATTACCTAAGTTTCCAATAAGCTGTCTTGTATAATACAATTATCAACATTTTTGTTTTGTGAGGATTTAGAAGTTTTAAACTTTATCTAAGGATCCAGTCCAGTCTCTTCCATATATGCTTTATATAATCTAGAATGAATTTTTTCTGTCAGAAAACTTGGTAAATCAACTAAATTAGCATGCCATTTGCAATAGTCATTAGTTAATATCTTGCTAGAGATAATATCAAAAGACATGTTATCATTTTATATTAATGCAACTTAATTCAAAATCATGTAACTACCAGACATGAAGTGTCTTGCTCTGCAGAGAAAAAAATATCAGACCAGATTTATGTAATTATTTACTTACACAGTTATTTCAATTTCATGCTGTCCACATTTAATAAAATAAGATCCAGCTTCATATCTACCTTTTATACTCTTCTCATTCTTATGACTCAACTTGCATGCCAGACATAATGACCCTTTATGAATTTTATAATAATCAAATTTTTTACTACTAAATTCTTTATATAGATTAGAATAACTCCACAATATCTTATTACGAAAATAAGCACAGTCACGAATCAGATCATTCTGTTTTGGTATACTTATCTTGGTTTCTAATGATTCTTCTAGAGTTATACCTGGTAATTTTTTTGAATCTACAGAAATAGATAAGTTTGCCTTTGGTAAAATTTCGTCATGAAGTTCCTGACCAACGGCCAGGATGTCACGTATTTTTTCTGTAACTTGTTTTATAATATTTAAAATTTGAGCATCAGTTAATTCTGATATACTTCTTACACCATATAAAGTTTCGTAAACTTTGTCGATTCTGATCCCTTTAATTTCTTCTTTAGTTATAGGATCAGTAATTTTTCCAAACAGTTTATAAACATTCCCAACTCTCTGAGTCTTTTTATATAAATTTGTTTCTGATACATTGGGTAAAGAAGCTCTAATAATAGCATAAACTTGATTTTTTGCAGTTTTATCAGAAACATCAGTTTTGGAGCGTATATTAGCAATGCTGGTTTGATAGGCTTTTCTGTAAGTATACCAGCATATTACCTCTTTTTGCTTAGCCTTTATCATTTTGCCTTCTGCAAATTTAGCATCAGAAAATAATTGGACCAACTCTCGTCCATTATTGTTTATTTCTATATTACTATCATGAGTTTCAGAAATATTAGGTTCATTTTGTGAGTATGCTTTTTCATCACTCGATAAGATAAGAGATTTTTTAATAAACAGAATTACTTCTTGAATTATATCTTGTTCTATTTTCTGATTATGAGGCATTTTTATTTGAATAATAGTCTGCGAAGCAGGACACTCTATGTCTGAATTGCCTTCTATAACTTTATTAGATGACAAAGGGTCTTGGGATCTAAGCTTCTTTTCGTGATTTCTTTCCTTTATTTCGTTCCTAATCTGTTCTTTATGCACTCGTTCCAGAAATTTGATCTTTTTATCTTCAGAAGATTTAGACTTTGCACATATGGGTGATATTGTGCATTGAGGATTTGTCAGATTTGTCTCCTGGCATATATTTCAGATAATTCTGAAAAAGCATTATCAGATACATCAGAATTTGAAACGTTATTAGTAATATCAGATGGAGGAGTATTATCACATCGTAAGTCTATCTGTTTATAAGTATCATTCAAATTTTTCATTTTGGTAAAAACACTTACTATCTCATTTTTGGCTGATGAGGAAATTGGTAATTGCTCTAGAGAATTGGTGGTTATTCCTTTTGATTTGATTTCCTTGAAATCACATCTTAATTTTACTACTTCAGTTTTAAGCTCAGCATTCTCAAAAGCAGTATCTGCTCTACTTTTCTCCAACTCCTCAATTCTGCTCTTAAACTCTACATCACGTCTAGAATTCTCTTCAATAATCTGCCTCAGATTCATGTTTTCAACCTTGAGTGCATTTTTTTCTTTTACTATCTGTTCCAATTCCAGCTTCAATGAATCTATTTCGGATAAGTACATAGATTTATCTCTTTGTGGTTGTATGCTTAATTTATATAACTTTATTAGAAATGTTCTGAAAAAGATTTTTACTACACACGTCTTGAAAAAAATTTTTTTTTTGTTAACTCCTTTAATTTAAATAAAAATTATATAACATCCTAACCAACGGTCAGGAACTCACCAATCACTTTTCCAAGAAATATTTTTAAAAATTCTTGATCATATGCGAGTTAATATACATTGATAACAATAAATCAAATAAATAAATTTATGAAATACACATGCGAAAGTAAATATAAATTAGCCAATCTACACAAAAATTTATTATATATACTGTATTTAGGAAATATGTAGATACTTGTAAATTAGAATAAAAATGGCATTTACTACTAATAAGCACGAGCTCTACTATACAACCTACTATCCATAACTCAAACGTTTATTATCAAAAACACTACATAATTCAAACATAATCTGAATCTTTTGTCATTAACAAGCTTCTACTTATCCAAATCAAATAGCTAGTGATAAATTTAAAGTGGTTTAGCAGTCTTCATCCTGTTCTTGGTTACCTTCAATCAGTTAACTATCTACAATATAACTTGTATTATCCAATCAGAAGTATGTCAGCTTTGAAATCTTTTTTGCTAGTGAATCATTATGTTCTCAAAAAGCATATTGATAGTTACACGGTCAATTTGTTTACACTAGCCGATCAGATGAACTTCATTCCATGATCTCTCATTTTAAAGTTGTCACTATTCGGAACAAGTAATACTATACAAGGTCATTATAATATTGATATGAGATCAAAAATTAGCAATATTAATTGACCTGAGAAATAAATGTTTTAATATAACATTAAAAACCCATAAAATTGCCAGCTGATGCCAGACACAATCAAATGGTTACCTTTACAAGCAAGAACGGTCACCGGCTGATGCCAGGCATAAACATGTTCTGCTTGTACTTCTACCACAGCTGTCAGCTGATGCCAGGCACAGTGTGATAGGGTTGTAAAAAGAGATTTAACAGGCTAAGTGCCTGTGTGATTATCTCAACTTAACACTTCTACAAACAACCATCGGCTGATGCCAGACGCAGTAGTCATAGGTTGGAAAACCTAAAAATGTTAAGGTAAAGAAATGCTATCAATGGTTAATTTCCTTGAACTTGTTATTGTGCAAACTCCAATTTTTTTCTTGTTATTTTTTGTGTAAACAACAAACTCGCACAACATCGATATTGGTGATAAATATCTTATAATTACACACTGATCATTACTGATAAGAAAAATGTGATTTTCATGTTATGCCCAGTGTTCGAAATCTGAAACTAAATTAGTGTTCTCATGTTCTATTTAGTATTTTTGAAGTCAATTTTTGAGTGTTCTCTAATATAAAAAATCAGCTTTCAGCTGTTCTCACTCACAAATTTGTGTTCTCATGAGACCTCTGAGAACACTAATTTCGAACACTGGTTATGCCTTTGATTAGTCTTTGATTGGCATCAAAATTTGATTGGAATAGCTTCACGCCAGACAGACACAAATGTTTTTTCTTCAGTTGGTTTTGATGGATGACATATTTAAAGAACCTCGCTTAAAGAGCTCAAAGCTTTTTGACTACAAATGTTCAAATATTTTAGGCATACACAAATTTTTCACTGAAGAGTCAGCTTTCAAATGGTGTCTAGAAACTTTTGTGAACAGGCTAATATGTGAAGAGACAGAACTAAGTTTCAAACAAGTTCAAGAGCTTTTTTTGGCCAATTTGGACCAAATTAATAACCAGATGAACATTTGCAATCCTATTTGTGCATTTTGTTCAAGTTATATTGATTGGATGCAGGTAACTATCCAGTTTTATTGATTCATAATATTACGAAGCAATATAATCCAAGGCTAATCCTAGCATCTATCAAAAACATGGAAGGGGCAGGCCATTTCGAATGCATGTAAGGAGTATTTTCAAGAATGTGCAACATTAAAAACCAATCTGAAACATAAGTGTAAACATAAAGAAATTGCTGAGATGTGTATTAATTATTTTTTGGCATTTTTTCTGAAAGCAATTTGAATGTCAATTGGAATGTTTGTGCTTTTTATTAGGACTTCGTTTCAGAAAATGCAAAATATATGGCATTTCAAAGTATCTTTCAAGGACCTCAAAGAGGAATATGAGCTCAGATGCTTCTACTCCCGCCACCACAATCCCAAACACCAATAACACCAAATAAAAGGATGATAGAACATGAAAAAGTAAACCAGTGAGTTCAAGCTAAATATCATATTTACCTCTTTATGATTCATTTTAACAATGTTATCTTTAGGTACGTTGAGTCAATTCAGATTATATGCACATTTGGCACAAATGCATTAGAACTAGAAAATTTGGTAGAAAAAGATTTGGCTGACGAGATATCCTCATATCAAAATCAAATACCTTCAGTCTGGACAAAGGGTTTAGAGAAATACTTCGATAATGCATTAGATGTGAGTTTTATATAAATTGACCAATGATTTGTTGCCAAACTTACATCTGTAATATCTACAGAAAATGGGAAAAAAATTCAAGTTAGTGATCTAAGAAGAAATAGAAAGAGAGAAAGAAAACGTTAATAAGTTTAGATTATATTGTGAAAAGGTGTTAATGGAATTGTAAGTATTAAACTGTTATTGAATATATAAAAAATTTACACAATGAATTTATTTTGATATTCTTTAAAAGTTTCAATTTAGTTGATGTTTTCCCAACACTTTCGAGAACGATCAAAGAGTGAAAATTCACTATATATCATATTTCCCCATTGTTCATGTTTTATGAATCCATTTTCAGAACCTTAAAATAGAGACTTCAGTGCGATGCGAAATGAAAGAGCAGATTATGTGATGTAATTAGTCCAAATTATGCCCTGATGCTCATCATTCACAAAATTATGCGAAATGATAGTAAAATTATGCGATTTTTTTTAAACAAATAATAAATTTTATTTATTTATTGAAATTTAAAAAATTCAAAATGCTAATCGAATTTTCAGACAAATTCTGTCTGTTATCTACTAAAATTCTATTATATGTAGAGAACTACACTCTATATCTATACCTGAAATAGGTAACCAAATATAAATTAATGCTAATTTAAATAAATTTGGTAAAATTTCTAATTTTTCTTGCCAATAATTATCTAAATCAAAATCTTCTTTAAACAATTCATTCAACCCACAATAAATTCCCCATTCTGCAATTAATTCATTTGTAGGATTTTTAAATTCTTCTATATCTTTATAGAGTAATATGTTGTGATATTGTGGTTGTAATTAAATAAAGCGTGGATCAAAACATCTAGTTGCATTAAAAATTGAAATTGCAGAATTATTATTAATATTGTTATAGGTGAAAGCCTTCTTAATTTTCACACTATAACGACGACATGGCACAGGGAATCCCTTACGGGTATATGCG